CATGAGCATGTGACGCTTTTTTGTAGTTATCAGTTAAAAATTATATAAATATGTAAAAATGTTTCATAAAAATGTTAACAGTTCAGAAGTTTATGGGTAAAAATTAAAAGTCACCCATCAACTTCCAATTCCACACTCTTTTCCAGGGATGATCCTACACAGTTTGGATTATATCCATCTAGACCTTTGTCGAGGTATTGCTTATATGTAAACCGCCCAGAGCTAAGTAACTCCTGAATCCCCCCGTGGTCTAGTCCCACAGAAGATGGCATCTAAAATGCCCAGTTTAGCAGTGGTGTATCAAAAAATATTGTAGGAAATCCACTTCATAACCCATAAAATACTTCTAAAAATCTCATATTTTATCCTCTTCAATTCTCCCATATTCCACAGCTGTTCAGGAGCCTCTCGCTAAACTACCCCAAATTCTCTAACATCCAGACACTGTGGATTTTTAAAAAATCTCTTTCTCCACTCACCCTCTCTCCTTCCCTCTCACACCCACCGGGGTCTGTAGATAGTTTGAGTCTTTCTGGCTCCTTTTCTCTATACTTTACCCCATCTTGGTATTTTCTGTTCCAGAGGAATTGACCCAGGAACAAAACCTCTTCTCTTTTCTCCAGCTGTTCTAACTCTCTCTCTAGCCCATTCTTTTGATTTTGTATAAGGGGAGGAAAGAAATTACAAAGTTTAAAAGGCAAAAACATAATTTTCTTTAGTAGGAAGCATGAGTAAAATAAAAGGCCAGGAGCAAACACCCACACATTAATAAATCTTATATCTTATCTTAATCTTACATTTCCCTTTTTTATTATATAGGGTCACAATACAGCCTTAGGTTCTAAGACTAGCTGTTTTCATTTAGTAAGTGAACATCAAACATAAACTTTGATTAGTGCATATAATTGTATCTTGGTTTTTTGTTGTTGCTTGCTTTTTAACACTTCCATAGTGTGGCTAATCAATGATTTATCTAACCACCCCGTTATTATTGCTCTTTTTGATTTCTCTCTCTCTTGTGTTTTTCTCTCTGTGTCTCTGTATCTCTCTATGTCTCTGTTTCTCTCATTACTACATGATTTCCTGTTAAGGCCTTTAAAAAATATTTTCTGGGGCCGGCCTGTGGCTCACTTGGGAGAGTGCAGTGCTGATGACACCAAGGCCATGGGTTCAGATCCCATATAGGGATGGCCGATTTGCTCACTGGGTGAGCGTGGTGCTGACAACACCACGTCAAGGGTTGAGATCCCCTTACCGGTCATCTTTTAAAAAAAATAAATAAATAAATAAAATAAATAAATAAAAAATATTTTCCAGTTTTATATTGAAATATACACACTTCTAGAAAAGAACACAAATTATAAGTGTATTACTAAATAAACACACCTGTATAACCACCACTTAGACCCCAGAAAGTTAATATAATTTTGAAAACAAATTCAATCCCTGATCCCCATGAAGTAGGGAACTAAGTTTAGAGACAGGAGATGCAGCAGAACAGAAATAGCTTTCTGCAACACCAGACCTTTGGAAGAGTCTTGCCTGCGTGTTGCTGGATATGCAGAAAAGACGATGTAAAGAGAAGCAGCAGCTGAGGGATCCAGCCTTTCAAGGAATCCAGGGTGAGGACCTCCTAGTCAGCCCCAACACATGACAGCGGGGGCCTCCCTCCCACACAAGCATCAGGAGACTGAGCGACCTGAGGCCAGTGCTAGAAAAGCCCTCATGAGCCTGGCCAGTCTGGAAGATCTATAAACAACTTTTATGTCAGATTTTCATTTATTTGTCTAGTAAATAGTTATTAAAATTCTATTTTGTTCCAGGTATCATCTCTACTATTTTGGAGTTTACAGCAGAGAGGAACAATAACCAGTGAAATAATGCAATAAACAGATAAAAAGATGCATCTGTGAACAGAGCTATGAAGGAAGAGTACCAGGTACCCTGCAATATGCAAATTTTACTTGGTCAGGGAGATCAGTAAAGACTTCCCCGAGACAGTGCAGCTTTACCCCAGGATCGAGTAGGAGTTAATTATAGAGCAGTGAGGGACACTTTTCCATGGAGAATCAAGAGCACACACAGGGCTCTGTGGCAGGGGGAGCCTGACAGGTGCGAGGGGCTGATGGGGAGAGTGAAAGGTGAGGCAGAAAGGGCAAGAGGGTCTGGTGGTGCTGCTAAGGACAGCGTGGGTGGAGGTATCCAAGCAGCTACTGAGAGCTTCCATGCACTCAGGTGTGATGTGTGCCTTCAAAAGTTTATTTCTTTCTGCAGAATAATTTTTTTTAGAACATATAAATAATTATCTAAAGCAATTGCTCAAGAGCATTAGTTTACCTGGTTCTCTCCTAGCCCTCCCACGTGTGACTTCCCCTCTCTGGGTCTA